TCGGTTTTTTGCGCGCGGGATGCGCTCTCTTCGTGCGGTCTTGCCCCGCCTCACCGTCACGTGGCGCTCACTCGTGGCGCGAGCAAGTACATGCGCACGGGGTAGATGTCGCTCGGGAAGTCGGCCTGTCGGGTGGACTTGACCACACGGTACCCAGCTCGCCGGAAGAGGGCCATGTGGTGGGCGTGCGTCCGCAGCACCGCCGCGTTCTCGGCGTCAAGCATGTAGTTGCCGCGGCCCTCGCGGCACTTCTTTGGCGGCGCCGTGTTCTCCTTGACCACCACGAGTCCGCCTAGGTACACGGCCTAACCAGTCACCCTCGGATCGAACACAACAGCAGGACGGCGTGCGAGCGCGCCCGGGCGGACGGCGCCGTGGCAGGCAGCGAGCAGCCGCACAACGCTGTGGTCCGTCAGATGCCCGAGGATCCACTGCGCCCAGATGGCGTCGTACGTGCCAGCTGGCGGGACAAACTCTCGCAGGCTGGCCAGCGTGAAGTCAAGCCGCGAAGAGTCGTCGCACAGCGCTGTGCGCGCAGCCTGCAGCAGCGGAGCGCTCACCTCGACGAGGTGGACCCGCTCGAAAACCTTGAGGAGTACGCCACCACTCACGCGGCCCGAGCCCGCGCCCAGGTCAAGCGCGAGTGAGCCCGCAGGCGCCGTTTCGCCTCCGAGCGCCGCACGGAGGAAGTGCAGTGAGCCGGACAGGTCGACCCCGTCCACCGACCCGCAGCCGCCAAGCACGTCGTCGCACGCGGACCAGTGTGCAATCGACCGCTCGTACCACTCGTCCTCCGAGCAGTGCCACCAGAGGGCAGTTTTGCGGCGGCGCGAGGCGGGCATCTTTGTTGGCGGGAAGCCAATACCTAGGCGCGGCAGCGAGCGGAGAAAAGAATTCGGGCCGCGAACACTGGCACGACAAGGGCGCGGACTGGCGCGGACTGCACACGCACCGGCTCACCTAGAGAAAAGAAGATAAGAAAAAGCGCGGATAGGAGGGAGGATCGAGGGGAGGGAGGATCCCCTTCGGAGTGGGGGTAAGGAGGCCGAGTGTGGAGCGGGGGGTTCCGAGCGGTGGTGTCGGTGAGGAGTGTGTGTGTGTTGTCGTGCTAGTGTCTGGTGTCTACTAGCTCCGAGTAGAGGGGGCGTTCCGCTGCTTCTAGGGGAAACCCGGAGCGCAGAGCCAACCCTCGGAGACCCGTGTTTATTTTATGGCCCTTTCCCTGCGAACGCGCACCCCCGGGGCTAGGGCTCTCTAGCCCGCAACCCGATACCGATCATCCGGCCCGCTGGGTGCGCTTCTTAGCTCCCCGGCCCTGGATGTGAGGTTAATGACTGCACTCCAAGTGCTCCAAGTGCTCCAAGCGCCGCGACGCGCTCGACCAGGTGGCGGAGCTGCAGAAGGGGCGCACGGCGGCCGCCTGACGCTCGTGTGGAGAGTGGCCGAGGCTGAGAATTGACGCGCGCCGTCACTGTGAGGGTTTGCGATTCGTTCGTCATGTAAACTGAGCGGGACCGGCACTGCCGTGCTCCGATCCCCCCTCCAATCTTTTT